ATGACTTTTATAAAAAAAAAAGTACGCGAAAATCAATTTCACTGTTCGCTAGTTCTAGTGTTTTCAAAAGTAGTGAAATTTACAATAAAAAATTTTGAAGCTTTTAAATTTACCTTTCACGAATAATTTTATGAAATATTCTTTACCTTATCATTGACCTCATGGCGAACTAAATTTTTATTAAAAACACGCGGTGAAAATTAACAATTCAGCGCTTCGTTATTAATTAACAGTGGACTTTTATGATCAAACATTTTACAGGGGAAACTTCGAAGAATCTAATTATATATTTTTCAGATTTTTTTAACTCGATCCTAGTGCTAAATAAAAATTCATTGATAATCTCTGCGAGGTGAAAATAATATTCATAACGAGACCAAAATATACGCGAGGAAAAGAATAAAACTTTATATGAATAAAGTGCTGACTCAAACAGTGCCTAGTTTGGCAGAAATTATGTTATAGTACGATTTCGTCAAAAATCGTGTTCAATACGGCGTGGAATAAGCGATCCGGTTAGCGCAGAATTTCCCCAACGGAATTTAAGACGCATGAGAAACGCTGGATATCGTGTAACGAGTTTAGTGAGTCTTGAAACAGGAAACGGCCAGAAGACGTATAAACGTGAAACAGGTCCTCCACGCTAGGAATCCTTCAAAACTGTTTCACTGCGATGTCGACGCGCTAGCGATAAGTCACACGGGTATACCACTGCAGTCAGAGGTCACTGAATTTTTTATGATTCTAAAGCTAAAATAGGGAATCACATGACCCATTGTTTGCGTCAATATGCGTTATTTACATGGATATTTAACACGTAGCTTAAATAAATTGAAGCTGCACACTTCAACAACTGCACCTATTACTTCGTACAGTAAAACCTTTCTTTGATTTTATTTTTAATTGTACAACAATTTTTTTGTATTTATAATGTTTCTCGTTTACGGTAGATATATACTAATTAATGAAATATTTTCCTTAATTTATGGAGAATACAAGTCGAAGGAGAATGTAATTATTCGATAATTCCAAATTTTTGAAAATGATAAAAAAAGCTATGACTATTATGAACATTTCATTATAAAATCGATAAATAATTCTCATTTTAATTTTCCTATGTGACATCGGCGTAGATGAAAGTTAAGGGATGATCATTTCGCCGAGAGAAGTGGAGGAAAATCTCGAATAAAATTTGCTCGGAAGATGCTCCGTTTTCGAGATAATTGAATTTGTATATTGGTCAAGTGCACGTGCACTCAAGCACTGTTTTCCACGTTCAAAGGGTACCATGAGGCAGGGAGGACGCTTCTTGACGCCGCCCAGTAATGCACCTCAGTACACGCGCACTCGGCCAATATTGAAGTCAATTAGCTCGAAAACGAAGCGCCTTAGGAAAAAATCTATTGTGCATTTTCAATTTATTTCCTCGTTTGATAGCGACTTTTACTGCTGGCGCCATATAATTTACCGCTCTTGTACTTTCCACTCACGATTTGAACGGCAAACAGATTAACGAACTGCATTCTCGTAGAAAATATGTGATCGTTTACCCGCCCAGTCCAAACACGTATTCTTATATTTTGTTCTTAGAACAGCAAATATAATTGCTTACTATACTAAATAAAAAAAAAACGTAGTAATTAAAAAAATAAAATATAGCTTATGTTACTAAATAAAATAAAAAAACAGTGATGGTACACGAACCACTTGGAAATTAATTATATATATCGTCCTTGAACTCGATTAGATAGATAAATTAATTCAATGTTTAAAGTTCGATATCTATGTAAATAAAACGCATTAACACATTCGAACACGTGTTTTCCTTGTACGATTTACTAGATTCATGGAAAAACCCAGTTGTGTGGCCTCACCCAGTCAGTTTGTAGAAAAAGGGAAGCGTTTAATGCCAATTTAACGGAGCACACTTAAACGTGGAAACGCCCTTTAATTTATTCACGACGCCACTGTTTATTATCGTGTCACTGTTCATCAAAAGATGAATTAATAATATCGCGAGGAATGTTTATTTTCTACGTGATGCCCATAACGACCACGCCGTTCTACTTCGATACACCCATTGTTAGCAGCTATATCAGATTCCCGGGAGATGTGCTCGATAATGACTTAATTCCTTGAAATCCGTGAAAGAGAAACAATTAACGACAACTGGAATGCCTCTTATGGAGTGCCACTAGTTGATTAAATATTTACGCATCCATTGGGGACGATTTCGAAAACATTTCAATTGACCTAAATCGAATGGCGATACGCAACGACAATGAAATCACTTCGAAATATTTTTTCAACCAATCATCCACTATAATCCAATGTAAATTGATCCACTATAATGAATACTGTGAACATTCTCACGTTCTTTTATATAAAATAGTTTCATTAATTATAATGCCAAGTACAAATAATAACAATCGTCATACACAAGTAAAATATTAAGATAAAAATGTACGTTTCCTTTTGCACAACTAGAAAATAAAAGTTTTTCATAGTATTAAAAGAGTTCTGAATTTATTTCTCGTTAACATTCTCCTAAAATATTGCCAAGTGTCCCATTTTTTTCTTTGGTACCCAATGCTACTTTTAGCTTTTAACACTAGAACTACCGAGCACTTAAACCGTCTTTTTAAAATTTCTTTACAAGAGCTATAATGTGAATTTATCGAGATTTCAATTGGTTTGTATTTCAGTTTAGGTGTTCCTAAATCAGCTTCTTTAATCATTTCTCAAAGAAGTACCTGTACCTTTACAGTAATTGTAAAAGAAATTAAGAATTGATCATTTTGACCCGCCTGGTAGTTCTAGCGTTAATGTACACGTGAATAATTGAGTCAACGATCACCCATTTTACTCTTAATACGACGGGACGAATCAACGATGTATCGTTCATTGGTTTTCGGCGCCAGCCTCGAGAAAGTAATTTAACGTCTGAGTTTACATTTGCTTAGGAAATTACTGAATGGGCGACGTCTTCGTCATAAAAGGTGCTCGAGGCGATCCTGAACGTTCGTTTACACCCATTCCATTTCTCTCCCATTACACCATCGATAAAATGCTAATATAGATGGAAAACTAACCTCGTTCGCGAAGAATTTAATAACGCGGTGCTGACCGCGTTCTAAATGCGCGTCTATATACAACGGGACGCGTAAAGATACGAACGAGCGTTACTCGTCAGATGATGTCTCATCCTTATTGACGCGTAGACAAAAGAAAGGCAACCGTGCACTGAAAAGAACGTCCACCGTCAATGAGCTTACAATCATAACAGGTAGACCATACAAATGATACATTTCAATGTCTCCCTCTCGCGCTCCCGTCACGCTCTTCCTCTTTCTCTCTCTCTCACCGCATAGAGGAACGTCACGAGTGCATGTGTTCCAAGATCCGTATTTATCAAACGTCTGGACTATTGTTGATCGTTCGAACCGATTGCCGGCCTCGATAACGAAATGTCATCGACATATAACGTTCGATCACATCGATCGGCCGTTGTTCCGCTGATTCCGCGTTATTAAACGACAGACCGTGCAAAATCGTTCCCCAATTTGTCCCGTGGCCGTAACGCGCACGCACGAGACGACACTTACACACGCTGGCCAGGCGACACGACCTTCGTATTCTTTCGAAAAAGAATCAGGTTACCTCGTTGTTTTCGCAGTCGGTGCAAGGGTACGGGCGGTCGAAGCGCCCGCGTCGACGAGGGCGACGTCGTTATAACGATCGTCGTTGATGAGAGAGCATATCGAGGCCGTTTCACGCAGATTTTACCACGGGGACACTGTACAACCGCGGACGGTTGACGGACGTGTAAAACGTTCGAAACGTCGCGTCCGCGGATCGATCCGTTTGACGAGAGGATGCTGGATGCCTTCTTCGAGGGGACAACTAAAACGTGAGACGGCCCGGACGGAGGAAACCGAACACGGTAGTGTGACTGTGCCACGCGCACACACACGCGTCACGCACGTCACGCACGCACGCACGCACACACAATATCGTCGTTGATGACAGGAACGATAGGGGATGCACGGAATCCGGGAGGGTGTTCCACGATCACTGGTCACTTTTTCGGTTCTCCCAGCGGTCTCCTCGGGAAGAAAAGGGGATCAGCCAGCGCGCGCTGGGCGGTCACCGTCTATCGTTGCCACTCTCGGGGAACATCGGGACCGGCGGCGTTCCATGTTTTCCGCCACTGTCAGCACTGCCGTCACCATAACCATCGCGCGTGACACACGACGGCTGGCTCCCGTTACGCGGCGGGTGTTCCCCGACGTGTACCCGTGACCACGGATTATTGACCTACGTGAAACGCGAGATGGATTCACGCGTCCCGAGTCACGATGTACATCACGTTCACACGCAAACTGCACGAGGGGTGCCCATCGCACGACGGCGTGCTTCAACGTTTCGAACGGCACGACGGAGAGCCGAGTCGTCGGGCCGAGGTAGTAGTAGTAGTAGTATTTGCTCGATGATCGTCGAGAGACTTCGAGGCGTCGTCCCTTGACGGCGCCACGAGTCGTCACGCCGGTGGTGCCGTGAAATTTCCAAGCAACCAACCACCCGTCCTCGACCGAGAAGCATCCACCATTCGGGGGTAAAGAGGGTTGCTACGTTTACGATCGTCACAAACTGCGCACGAGCTTTTCGCTTCCGCGAATCGATCCAATTGGTACGGCTCGAACGAACAGGGAAAACGGAAGCACGTGTGCAGTGATATTTCGGTTATCGCAATGCGATTGTGGTATTGAACTCGCTTCGTGCGGGGAATTAACCCTGCGCGACGGACTAGGCTTTGAGGTTATGTGGCTTATGCGCACGTGTAACCATTTACCTCGAACGATTTCTTTCTTTTTTAGAAACGACGTTCTTGTTAGTTGCGGAATTATTCTTTGAGCTTGAAGATATACATGAAGATATATCGTTCTTTTTTTAATATTGTGTAACAAGCAGAGTAATTACCTTCTGAGAGAATATAACACATTTATGATATCCACCGATGGGGCAATAGAAGACGTTAATTTGGGGTATTATTTACGTCAGTTGGCAACGACATATTATTTTAAAATATATGAATTTGGGAGTTAAAATTAGTTCTGTTCTTTATGAAATCCTACCTTTTTGATAAACCTTGTGAGATTGTTAGTCACATAAGTCATATAAGAACGTACATTTATTATGTCAAACCGCAGGTAATTGATTTTTTTTTCGCAGCAATTGACCTCGCGGAGCGAACTACCGCAGTACTGCGTTTACCAAAATACCCATACACTAGGCGTGAAAATATTTGGATGATTTCCACGTGATGAAATACTCATTATTTCCATTAAGGCAGCAATCTAGAGATCGGCCTCTTCAACGGAAATAAACGATTCGCACCTAACTGTAGCGTCGACAAGATTAGATATACGACGCTACTGTATCTCAAAACGTTAACAGCGAAACAAGCGTAATACTTATCGACAACAGATACGCAACGGTATTACTTTCCCGCGCAACTGCCGACAATCAAAATACACGGCGAATCGTCGGCGTCAATCTTCTCTTAGCGGAATCAATTCGAATGCACGTTTCGATTGAAACATCGCCAGGAATGAGAATCATCGAGCTATACAAATTATCATAATGAACGCGTTGCACCGGCAGGTGTCAGAGATTAGCGTTGATCTCCGTCCGCGCGGTGCATAGCAATTAATCGGAATGGTACCACTCACCTTCCATGGGACGCGTGGCAGAGCTGCGCGACATTGTTCGCGTGGTCTGTTAGGCTGCGGCTGAGAGTTAGGCGCTTCTGGACGGAGTCTGTAGATATGTTTCACGGGGGTGTCGTTCACACCTCTGGAACGCGGTGTACCGGCACGGCGAGGCTGGTGTTCGGCCGGCGTCGTGGAAAATGCATCAAACGCCGATCGGGGTGTAAAAACGGGGGTAGAAAACGTTGTCCAGTTTCCGGGAAACTGGAGGAATGACGACGGGGGGTTTGGTAGGTCGGTACCCGTACGCGTGGTAGTCGGCAGTCTTGTTGGTACGGTGCACCCCAACGATGGACACTGAGTGCGATCGTTTTCGTTCGATTTCGATCGTAGGCTCGTTGTTCCCCTATCGAGTGTGATGATTGGCCTCTGCCTCCTGGTCGGTTGATACTTGGTCGCGCGGCGATGGAGGAACGACGATCCTCTCGTGTTACAGCGATAAACGCGAGAGAAATTTAGGCACGTAGTGGATAAGAATGACGCGTAGGCGGTGGTCGTTTCCGTCGCGCGACCAGTATCAAGCGACGGACGATGCCTCGATGCTAGACGGTAACGCTGACCACGGTGCAGCCCGTGCTTCCGAAACGGCGCCCTTACGTTTAGGTCGGATATTCCGCGGCTAAATAATGGTGACAGGATATCCGGTGTGG